GTTCACGTAAACAATTACTATATGATAATTATAAATGTTGTAATATATACATATATATATATATATGATACCTTCTTCTTAATTTTCTCTAGATTTTCGTCTCTTATTAAAGAAATTGTTGTCCTAGTATAAAATTTTCTTTAAAAAAAAGTCAATAGGTATTAAAGCTTACGATTATTGAAAGGATACGAAGACATCCATGCACAATAAAAAAACCAAGATACACAAACTTAATAGCAAAGCGAGATGGTGACAACAAAATAATGATAGATATACTATATGAAAAAAAGAAAAAAAAAACACATTTGATACTGATAAAGATATGATAGTAATAATTTTTTAAGCATCCCTTGACGAGCAGTTATTGAATATACAAAACCAACTTTATCTTTGGCAAGTTCATAAGGATTGAAGTAATCTAATTCGAGTTCTTCACGTATCAGCTGGTCCACTTTTATCGTTCAAGTTTCACTTATAGGATTGTGGGATTTTGATGGAGAATAAGACAAATTTTTAGGGTAAATTTCACTTACATCCTTGTGGTTAATTTAGATGTTTTTCATGAAGCATTTTTGGGTTTTTTTTTTTTTTTTTTTGCCAGATGATCTTTTGTAATAAAGTTTTGTTTCTACGAGAGTTACGCTGTAATATTTTAGTAAAATAACGAAAATATCGTAAACGAATAAAATACATTTTGAATAGTGGATATTTTGATAATTTTATCAAATAAAATTAACGGTATAACCGGTAATAAAACTTTACCTCAAAAGCTATTTAAAATATATATTATTTTATTTTTTTTTAGTAAGAGTAAATTTAGAAGTTGGGGAGAGTAATTCGCTTATTCGCAGGCGAATTTATGAATTTTTAAAATTTTTTTGAATTTATAAATAATTTATTAATAAAAAAGCATAAAAATTTAAATTTAAATATTTTACATTCAAATCTTAAATTTTAATAATTTGTATCAACACATATTATTATTTTATCAAACAAAGGAAATGTATCCTTTCTGAAATTTAATATTTTTGCATGCTCACGACTTGTCTTTTTCCAATTAAAAACCATTTTAACTACCTGGGAGAGTGATTGGCTTAGACTCAGACAAAAACCATTTAACTATTTTCATTAAGTCTTTTGGCAATTCAGAACTTTTTAATTTGATTCTATCTTAATCTTAGAACTCTGATGTTCTCATTGTAGGAAATTATATATGGTCCAAAGTTAGGAAATGATAGATACAATATCACTGTAGATCATGAAAACCTTTGGTAAAATTTAAAAATAATTGACATGATATCAAAAGGATAGGATGAGTTGATAAAGTTGAAATATTTTGTATATAAAATTTAAGTTCAAATATCATCATTAATGAATTTTTTTAATAAATAATCTATAAATTTAATATTGTCATAATGATTTGAAGACAGTTAGATTATTTAAAAATACAAAGAGTCATCACCAATGTTTTTTAATTAGATGTGATTAGTTATATATTAAAACTTATTTTTTAAAATTTTTTTTAAAATTAATTAAAATTTATTAAAAAAATAATTTTTTATCTACGAAAAAAATTTAGATTTGAGAGTCGGTTATGACTAAGAAAAGATTAGCATCCTCCTAGCGCTTGTTAAAAAATGATACTAATTAATTATGTGTTTTTTTTTTAATTTTAACAAAAATATCTTAATTTTAGTATTTAAAAAACCCTTGACTATCTTTATTAATTTATTTTCATCTCCACTTTTGTTATTTCACCCATTTTTTCTTTTTATTATTTTATTTAAAAAAAATTAATCCATTTTTATAAGAAAAATAAATTAAAACTTTATTATCGAAAAAACTCTCAAAATATTTCATTATGTTAGTAACATTGAAAGAATTTTTTTTTCATATGAATTTTTTAAGAATCATTACTTGAATTTTCTTATAATCCTGTCTTCGAAGGCTCGTAACTATTTTTCAAAAATGAGAATATGCATGCAATGTAAATGACAAAATATTGATGCGTATGTTTTAATTTTCCAAAAAGATTGTTGGTTTTTTTTTTTACACACTTATTTATGGAAGAAAAGAAAAATTTTTATTATATTAAAAATTTTTATAAATACCCTAATATATTTATAACATTTTAAAAAAATTTATCACTATAAAATATTTTAAGTATCACTACTTATATTACTTTGAGATCTCATCATGAAAAAAAAAATTTTATCCATTATTTTTTTTATTACTTTTATTTTTTTTACCCTAAGAGTTTTACAATAATATAATTCTCCATTAATAAATTTATTTCCTAGCATATGAGCAAGTATTAAAATAAATAAGTATAAAGCATAATTAAATAAAAAAAAATACCATATAAAGTTATTGTTCTACCAAATTGTCTCAACTAGGGGTGTAAATGATACATTAGTACTCGCAAGCTACTCGGGTTCGATTCGAAGAAAACTCGAATTCGGTTCGATTATTATCGAGTCGAGCTCGAGCTCGAGTAGCTCAACTTATCGATCGAACCGAATTCGAGTATTCTTATATCCGGCTCGAGTAGCTCGCGAGCCTAATCGAGCTTTTCTATTATATATTTATTTTTATTATTTTATTTATAAAATTACTTTTTTACCCTTAGCTTAAAAAACCCTAAAATTTTATTTTCTTTCTTTCTCTCTTCTCCTTCAGTTTTTCTCTCCGTCTCTCTCACTCACCAACAGGCAACAGCCCTACTTGCGGCCGTTTTTCTTTCCGAATCCCATTCCATTGTCTTCCAAGCTTGTTCCACCCTTTCGAAAGCCATTTCTCCTCTCTCTAAAAGGCTTGAACAGAACCCGATCTTGAACAGAACCCATTCAACATTTGCAGCAGCTTCAACAGAACCCATTCGACGTTTGCAGCAGCTTCAACAGTTTGCAGCAGCTTCAACAGAACCCATTCGACGTTTGCAGCAGCTTCAACAGTTTGCAGATCTTGAACAGAACCCATTCGACAGAACCCATTCGATGTTTGCAGCTTGCAGTAGCTTCAACAGTTTGCAGATCTTGAACAAAACCCATTCGACGTTTGCAGCAGCTTCAACAGTTTGCAGCAGCTTCAACAGTTTACAGATCTTGAACAGTTTGTAGCAGCTTCAACAGTTTACAGATCTTGAACAGAACCCATTCGACGTTTGCAGCTTGTAGCAGCTTCAACAGTTTACAGATCTTGAACAGTTTACAGCAGCTTCAACAGTTTACAGATCTTGAACAGAACCCATTCGACGTTTGCAGCTTGCAGCAGCTTCAACAGTTTACAGATCTTGAACAGTTTGCAGCAGCTTCAACAGTTTACAGATCTTGAACAGAACCCATTCGACGTTTGCAGCTTGCAGCAGCTTCAACAGTTTGCAGATCTTGAACAGAACCCATTCGACGTTTGCAGCTTGCAGCAGCTTCAACAGTTTGCAGATCTTGAACAGAACCCCTTCGACGTTTACAGTAGCTTCAACAGTTTGTAGCAGCTTCAACAGTTTACAGCAGCTTCAACAGAACCCATTTGACGTTTGCAGCAGCTTCAACAGAACCCGATCCCTCAACGTAGCCCTTTCTCCTCTCTCTAAAAGGTAAGCTCGTTCCACCCATTCGACATTTGCAGTAGCTTGAACAGAACCCGATCCTTCAACGTAGCCTTTTCTCCATGACATACTTTTTGAGTGCCATTTTTTTATTAAATATTTTTATGTTAGGCTTCCAATTCATGCTAAAAGGTGTTTTAAATAAGAATGCCTTAATTAAATACTTTTATGAATGCCTAAATTAAATACCCTTATGAATATTGTGGGGATGCAGATCGAGAACAACAATGAAAGGGGGCAAGGTGTTATAGCTATTTGTTAATATTGATATTCTCAATTCTGATTTGTTTGTCAAACACTATCATATTATACTTTTATTTTTGTTGCAAACTTGTGAAAAGCAGTATGTTCTTTGTGAAGTTGCATTTAAATACTGAATTTTGTAAACCAAAAGTCTCTATATTATTAGCAAAAAAGTAATTGAATTTGGGCCACTTCAAGACTTGCACAATACGCTTTATCAGTAGAAAAACTTTTGGATGGTTCATATTATTTAACAAAAAAAAAAGGTCATTGGCTCTATTATTTTTAGTCATAATCATAATTTGAGCTTCCATATAGTTCATCACTAATTTATTGGGGACTGTTTAATGTGAATACTTTTCTTCTTTATGCATATTAGATTTGTTAGAATATAACCTGACACTTATTTCTAATGATATTGAGTTAATGTTATATAAATACTAAATAGGCATGTATAATTGTAAAAATTAATAAGAAATATTCATTTTAAGAAATTGATTTTAGAAATTGAAATTATTATCAAAGTAGGTAATCTTAAATTTATTAAAATTCTTACAATATTAGTATATTTTCCCAAAGAATAAATTTTTATACTCTTCCAATAATTTGTTCTCACAACTTGTTTAGCATGTTTATGGCAATAAAATTTATCGCACATGTTTCTAACAACTTGTTTGCATTATTGTTTGATCCTAAAATTATATTATTGTTTTGATTTGTCTTTTTTGTTTTTTGCTATAGGGAACTAAACATGTCATCAACCACACCGGATATCTCTTCTATACCAGTTCAACCGACAATAAATTCTTTTACTAGTCGAATTGTGTCAGATGATGGTAATGATTCAATGAATGAAGCTTTAGATGCCACTAATGGTAACACAGATAAAACACCAGTCATTGATGCCAATGATAGAGAATGTGATAATGCTGACCTTGAAGAGTGTGAAGAAAGTAATGAGAAAAAGAGGCAAAAGACATCTGCTGTTTGGTTAGAATTCAAAGAAGTCACTCTTTCTGATGGTTCCAAAAAAGGAGAGTGTGTCCATTGCAAGAAGAAGCTAGCAATAAATACAAGTAAAAGTACAACTCAATTTAAGAGGCATTTGACAACTTGTGTTAAGAGAAAAATTTTTCAGAATTAACAACAAATGATCAACTTTCAGCCAATAAACACATGTGGTGATGTACAGATACTACCTGCTCTCACAGATGGCAAGTTTGATATGGTAAAGATGAGAGAAGCAGCTGCACATTGGATACTTATGCACGAGCATCCTTTTTCGATTATAGAAGAGGAAGGTTTTAACATGATGCAAAAACGTGGGATGTCTGAATGGGAAAAGGTATCACGCAATACTATTAAAAAAGATTGCATGCAAGTTTATGAAGCAGAAAAAAAGAAATTAAAGGCATTATTGAAGACTGTCAGTAAGATTAGTTTGACAACAGATTTGTGGAAATCAAGTAATCAAAAGATTGAGTACATGGTTCTTACAGCACACTTTGTAGATTCTAATTGAAGATTGCAAAAGCGTGTTATTAGCTTTGTTCACATACCTCCTCCTCGTCGCGATGTTGAGATTGCTGATTGTATTTTTAAGTGTCTAAAGGAATGGGGAATTGAAAACAAGGTGTTTACACTTTCTGTGGACAATGCTTCAAGCAATGATGTGGCGATTAGAATTCTTAAAGACACTTTTTCAAGAAATAGGATGTTGCTTTGTGGAGGAAAATTATTTCATGTTCGGTGTTGTGCACATATCTTAAATCTCATGGTTCAAGATGGCCTTTCTGAGATTAAGAATGTGATTGGTGATGTTCATGAAAGTGTCAGTTTTATTAATCAAAATGAGGCAAGACTTAACTCATTTTTTGATATAGTACAGCAGTTACAGTTACCTGATAGGAAACTCATTCTCGATTGTAAAACACGTTGGAATTCGACATTCGAGATGTTGTCGATTGCAATCAAATTCAAAGAAGTGTTTCCAAGACTCAAAGAGCGAGAATCTCATTACGAATGTTGTCCAAGTCATGAAGATTGGGAAAAGGTGGAGAAAGTTTGTGAGATTTTAGAAGTTTTTAATTCAACCACTAAAATCATCTCTGAAAGTGATTATCCAACTTCAAACCTGTTTCTGAATGAAGTTTATCGTGTGAAAGTGTTGTTGGATAAAAGGATGAATGATGAAAATGAATTTGTTCAAGCAATGGTTCGTAAGATGAAGAGTAAATTTGATAAGTATTGGGGAGAATGTAATTTGTTGATGTCTATAGCAGCAATCTTGGATCCAAGGTGCAAAATGAAGGTGATTGAGTTTTGCTTTCCTCGAATGTACCCTGATAGAGAAGCAAAAGAAAATATTGCTAAAGTTCGAGATGCCCTTTATGAGATTTATGATGAATATGCTCGTGAGTATCAATTTGGCAATAAACATAGTGCTGAAACTCAAGTGCATGATAATGGTATTAGTGGTATGAATATAGAAGCTTCTTCTTCTGGTTGGTTTGAATTTGCAAATTATGTAAAATCAGTTGAAACTGCTCAACCACAACAATCTGATTTAGATGTCTACCTAGCTGAGGGCTGTTTTATCTGTGAAGGAGATTCCACTAAGTTTCATGCTTTGGAATGGTGAAAAGCGAGCACTTTGAAGTATCGTATTTTATCCAAGATGGCTCGGGATATACTTGCTATTCCTATCACTACAGTGGCTTCAGAAGCTACCTTTAGTGCAGGAGGTAGAGTTATTAATACTTATCGTGCTTCTTTATCTCCTGACACAGTGCAAGCATTACTTTGTGGAGGAGATTGGTGTCGGAATCTTCAAGGAGTGAAGAAGAAGAACAAAGTGAGTTTTTTTTATTATTATTTTGTTATTAGGTGACTATCATTACTTTAATCTAATTTTTAACTATTATTTTCCTTTACTTTATCTATGTAGAAAGAGAAGAAATCAATTGAGATTGCACTCAAAATCCCCTAAAGTGAGGATATCTAATGTTCTTGCTATACAGGTATGAAATATTATTATTAAATACTTTTAATTTGTCCACAACATTACTAAAGAAAAATAGGGTAGTAGCTAGTCTAGATTAAGCTTTTTGCATTATAATCTTACGAACCATCAGGTTACTAATGATAGAACTCATGTTAAGGTCAATTGACAAGATACTGTTTATATTTTTTTGCTCCTGATTATAAGACACTGACAGATAAAATTCCATGTTGATGCTAATGTTAAAAATTTAAAGTTATTGATCATTTGTAATAATATTACAATCTTTTCTTGCATGGCGTACTTTTATCGTTATTTCTTATTATTAAATTATAATTTCTTTGTTTTGTATTATTCTTTTGTATAGGTTTATTGAAAAAGCATATGAGCCCAATGTTCATTTGAAGACATAATATTGTGAAGGCAGCATATGTATTGTTGTTGGTTTGTTGTAACTTATTTGTGAACTTATTTGCCTTGGATATTTAATATCTTTCAATTAGGATTTTAATTTCTTAAGTTTCATTTATGTCTTATATTTTGTGTTTGTATTTGAATCATTTAATGAGACTTTTTTATTTGCTTAAAATTTGGTTGTTGTGTCATTATTATTATTATTATTGTTGTTGTTATTGTTGTTGTTACTTGAAAATATACTATTTATTAGGTTTGATAAAAAATTAGTTGTAAAAGATCTCGAGCTCGAGCTCGAGCTCGAATAATCGAGTATAAAAATCGAGCTTTTTTTTATATATTAATCGAGCTTAATCGAGCGAGCTCGAATAGCTCGAATTTGATCACGAATCGAGTTCGAGCTTAAAAAATAAAACTTGATCGAGCTCGAACCGAGTATCGAACCCTGAATTGTGAGTCGAGCTCGAGCTCGAGCTTCTCATTATTCGGCTCGGCTCGACTCGTTTACAGCCCTAGTCTCAACCCAAGTTAGATGAACTTCACCGGTTACAACTCCAAGCTTGAAATAAACAACTAAATGTGATCTCTGTGACTTTCTTTCGAGTATAAAAATCGAGCTTTTTTTTATATATTAATCGAGCTTAATCGAGCGAGCTCGAATAGCTCGAATTCGATCACGAATTGAGTTCGAGCTTAAAAAATAAAACTTAATCGAGCTCGAACCGAATATCGAGCCCTGAATTGTGAGTCGAGCTCGAGCTCGAGCTTCTCATTATTCGGCTCGGCTCGACTCGTTTACAGCCCTAGTCTCAACCCAAGTTAGATGAACTTCACCGGTTACAACTCCAAGCTTGAAATAAACAACTAAATGTGATCTCTGTGACTTTCTTTCACTCATCTTTTCCACTCATTTATTCAACTAACAATTTTTTTCACTTTATCCTTTTTTGACTTTTTAAACTTCCTTCTGTCTCTTTTTTTTTTTAACCTAAACTATACTACTCGTAACTCCCTCCAAACTTTCCTTCTCTCTTTTATGGCAGGCCTTCCTCTATTCTTCCTTCCTTTTCTCTTCCTCTTGTTTTTTTCTTTCCTCTCCCCTTTGCTTTCCACACCCCTCTCCTCTCCATGTCAAAGGGCCTCTTTGTTTTTTTCACTTTTTCTTTTTTTGACTTTTTAAACTTCCTTCTTTCTCTTTATTTTTTGAACCTAAACTATACTACCCGTAACTCCCCCCAAACTTTCCTTCTCTCTTTTATGGCAGGCCTTCCTCTATTCTTCCTTCCTTTTCTCTTCCTCTTGTTTTTTTCTTTCCTCTCCCCTTTGCTTTCCACACCCCTCTCCTCTCCATGTCAAAGGGCCTCTTTGTTTTTTTTTTTTCTTTTTTGCTTTAACCATTCACCCCCACACGGTTTATCAAATTTTTTTAATTGATTTTTTTGTTGCTTCTGCTGGGTTTCACATTAAAGACAGTGTTTTTTTTCTTTTTTGGTTGATTTTTGGTTAACAATAAGGGAATTTTTTGTTTAGGGTTGTTTGAGAAATTGTTGATTTTTGGAGATTTGGCAATGGTGGTTAATGGTGGAAATTGTGTGGTAATGGCAGATGGGCTTCAATGATAGGGAATTACTGGTAGTGAGGTATTTTTTTGGTTTCACAGGAAAGTTTGGTTGGCAGTCAATGAGTGGGGTCTCGACTGGGGTCTTTTGGTAATAAGCTATATGTAATAGAGATGTGGAGGATGGTTTTCTCAAGCTCTTGATGGTGGTTGGGACTGGTGATGGAGCTCGATTGTGGAGGCCAAATGTGATGGTTGCTTTAGTTTTTCTTGTGTGTTGTTATTTGTTGGTAGTTTGAAATTAGCCCCTTCTAGCTAATTTCAACTGGGCTTTTATAACCTTTTCAGCTTTTAGATTCAGGCAAATATCTAGTGGATAAGATGAAGGACTGTGGGTAAGGTGAGGGACTGATGGCAGCTAAATTCAGCTAAAGATGGTGGCGGTAGGGTGGCTTGGCAGGGCTAAGCGGGCTGGGCAATGCCGCGCACGACACTTGCCCTATTTCTATCTGTTTCTTTTATTTTTTGTTTAATTTAATTTAATTATTATTTTAAATTAATTTATATTAAATTGACATGATTAAAATTTGAAAATAAATTCAAAAGTCGAATTAAGTTGAAACACAAAATTATTAATTCGAACAAAAATTGATCTCTACAAATATAAATTCTTTATAATGCATATGATTTACTTTGATTTCGATCTGAAAAAATCTTTCCTCATTTTAACCTTTCAAGCACAAAAAAAATATATAATCAAGATTAGAAATTGAGATTTCAATTAAAACATCTTAAATTTAAATTAATTATGGATATAATTTTTTTCTAAGTTAGATAATTCAGATTAATATTTATGATGATGTGACAGCAATTCATACCAAAAAATCTTTCGAAAGTTAGATTAAGGTTGGGAAATTAGAACCAACTCAAGAATCTCTCAAGGTATTCTATTTTTAGATAGAATTTAAATTGTTTCAAAAATTCACTTAAGAAATGTTAAAGATAATATATAGGACAAGATATCTCTAAGAGTGAAAATGAATTAAATATCAATAAATTTTATTATATTTAATATTTTTTTATTAATTAATAAATAATAAAATATTATTCATAATTATTTATTTAATTTAATAAATAAATATAAACAAATAAAAACTAAATTTATTTACGAATTATTCATCAAATATGATATTAGTTTATATAAACAAATAAGGTATAAACAAATTTTTTATTTTTATAATCTATTAGTTTAATTAATAAATTTTAAAATATTATTTATAATCATTTACTAAATTTTATGAATAAATATAAATAAACAAAATTCAAAAATTATTCATAGAAGATTTTATTCATTTGCATCCTATTTCCTCCTATGAAATATCCAAGGGAGGGAGAGCTCATTCTTCCTAACCCATTTTAACTCCAAGGGCCACTTGCCCTTCCATTAAAGCACAAAAAAAAAAAAAATCCAAGAGAGAATTCTAAAACAAGTATATATGTAACCTTGAATTGAATTGACATTAATACCCATTCGAAAAGTCCCCCATTAAAGTCCTTTTGGGAGCATGAAAGCTTGAAATGCTACTTGCTATGCTTACTATTTAATTGTTAAATAGAATTATCTTCCTCTTAAAACAAACATTGTGGTTGTATTGTTTGCTATTGGAAAAAGATCATATCCGTTACTTAAAATTTAGTAAAGATTTTTATTATTTTATTTAAAAATTAATAAAGCTAAATTCGTTCAAAATCACTCTATTTACATGTCATTGCTTTGTCGTAATTGCCTTCTCATTTTTACTTCCATTTTTGTGGTCATAACAAAAGAATCAACTTAAAATGGATCCAAAAAAATCCTAAAGTTTCTCCACTACGACAAGAACAATTTTGTAACTTTGACCTTTCCTTGAAAACAACCGAGGCTTTCTTTTGTTGGGAAAAAAAAAAAAAGGATAAACATGGGCTATCTTGTCTGAGATGAGGAGAGTGTTTGGTTGTTGGTACTGTAACCTTGTTTGCTCCCTCCCCTTTCAGTTTCAACTCTTTTTTTCTTTCTCTCTCCAATAATTTTTTGTTTTTCCAACTTAAAGGTGACTTCTAAACGGTGAAACATAACCCACAAATAAATACATAACAACCTTTAAGATGCGCCTCTCTTTCTCTGTCTTCAAACGCTTGTTGTTCAAAGCTTCAACTTTCAACTCTTCCTTGTCATCAACTCATGCTTTTTAGAGGCTGTTTTGGATTGGTTCTGTCTCCAATATGGATTTTGGGGTTCTGGGTCTGGAGGGTATTGTGGGCCCTGGTAGTGGAGCTCCATCTCAAGCTCAACCTCCTCCACCACCATTCCTCTCAGCCGAGGCCAAGCCTAAGCTTGTTGGATCTGGGTTTACCAAACAAGAAAGATCTTCTGACTCAGCTGAAGATCTCAGGAAAAGTTCAAAGTTACCAAGAACTGATGATTTGTCAACCCCGAAGACAATGCCATTGCACCAAGGCAGTTCTTTGTTGAGATCTAATTCTTTGGTCTCAGCTACCACTCGCCAACAAGAGCATATGGTAAGCTTCTCTTCACTCAAATCTGAAGTTCCTTTTATCAGCAAAGATGGTGTCTTTTTGGAGAGAAGTACACAAAACAGTGGCTTTTCTTACTATCAGTATACACCCTCGACGTACACTAGAAATGCAGGTAATTTTTTTTTTATGTGTTCTGTTATCAAACGCTTTTGTTATTCAGTCAAAAAATTGTGTTCTTTGGGTTTGTTTTGGTTTCTGATTTTTCTAAGATGGGTTTTGGGACAGGTGACTTCAGTTATAAGATATAGGCACATTCTTTGTGCAGAAAATGGGGCTGCATAAATTGTCAAGGAGATTTATTTGATAGTGAGGGTCCTTACATGGGCATTTACTAGAAATTTTAAGTTTTTGAGTCTTGTAAAGTAGAAAGTAGGTGTCTTTTCCTCTTACAAACATGGCATTTTTACCATTGTCTTTGGGGGAAAATTTCTTGCTACTGGAAACAGAAGGGGGAAAGGGGCATAAAAGAGTTGGAAAGAATCAGTAGTCTACCAGATATAAGACTTTGTTTGGTCTTTCTTCTTCTTATCTGTTATTGTTTTTTACTTTTACTGTGTTATAATAGTTGACAAAAAAAAGTTTCATGGCATATGTAGCCTGAATAAATTTTCCAGGCAAGTTAACCCTACGATGTCTTGTTTCAGGAAGCATGAATGCAAGCATGCATGGTCCTCTTACTGCGATTGGAGGACCTTTTACTCCATCTCAGTGGATTGAGCTAGAACACCAGGCATTGATCTGCAAGTACATCACAGCTAATGTGCCTGTACCTTCCAATTTGCTCATCCCTCTTAAGAAGTCCCTCTACACATATGGCTTGATCAGCTCATCTGTTGGATCGTTGCCTCACAAATCATGCAAGTTTCTTCTCTTTCTTTAAAACAGATACTTGAAAATAATATATCTCCCATAAGATATGCTCGACTTAGATCCTTTCTTTGTCATTAGTATGTTTTTAGTCTTCTATTTGGGTTTTATTTCGTTCTTAATTTGGAGGTGGCTGCTGGTGTTCTTGTTTGGTGTATAAATGTGTTGAAAATGAACAAAAGTTCATTTGTTGCTGGCAGGTGGTGTCTGTTAGATGTTAGAGTAAATTTTTAGAATTCCATATGTAGATACTGGATTCTGTACTACTTTGGCGGTGGTAACAGGGAATTTTGGATTCTGCAGTTGTCTTACAGATTGTGCAGTGATCTTAAAGTTTTCTGTTTATCTTTGGTAGAAAGTTTTATCCATAACCAGGATATCACTAATTAAAGGCAATTTTAACTAAAAAGTAACACTGGGTTTGATTTTTTTTAAATAGGATGGGCATAGCCCATAGGGGAGAAGGTCTTGGTTCTATGTCCTCTTAAGAACTCCTTAGCCAGTAGACCAAGGAGCTGAGGACACACTGCGTTTGATGTTAAATCCTTCCTTTTTCTTTTTCCTTTTTTGCCTGCTCATCTTTGTTATTTTATTGATCGTGAGTTGTTTTTTTTTTTTTTCTATTTTGAAATTTATATGTAGTGGGATGGGGCCCTTTCCATCTGGGGTACTCTGGCAGCACTGACCCTGAGCCAGGGAGGTGTCGTCGAACGGATGGAAAGAAATGGAGATGCTCCCGGGATGCTGTTGCCGACCAAAAGTATTGTGAAAGGCACATAAACAGGGTTCGCCATCGTTCAAGAAAGCCTGTGGAAGGCCAGACTGGCCATGCCGTCTCTGGAACCACTAATTCAAAGGTGGTGCCGATGTCTGCTTCGATGTCAGCATCGGTGATAACCAGTGGTGGTGCGTCAAACTGTCTCGCAATTGCACAGCACCAGTTTAAGAACTTGCAATCTGGTGTTGCCAATCCTTCTGCAAACACCCTTGTCAACAGGTAAAAACATACTTTAGGCATTTGAGATTACTTTATTTATTTACATTCTTATTATTCCTTTAGTAATATTTAGGATGATATTGCTTTGAACAGTTTGTATACATATCATTTCTGTTCCTTTCTTTTTACTTTAAGGTAGACCCCATTATTTCATCTTTACTTTTGTGACAGTGACAACACCTTGTAGTTGGGACTTAGGATTCTCTTTCTAGGAGTATTCCATTATTTCTTCAGCGTTCTGTTGTTAGGTACTTTGGTTAATTGGAAATTTTATAGATTAACTCAAAATTAAGTATAGGCTTGGAGTTCCACTTTTTTTTTTTCCTCTTCCATGGATAACTATTTGAATCTTTAATTTATGTTCATTGTGTTTCCATTTCCTATATTTCTACTATTTCTTTAGTTTGTTTCTAAACAAAGAGGATGTTGTGGCAGAATACAAGATACACGGGGGCTGTCCTTGATGTCTTTCGCCAGCAACCTGAAATCCAACAACTCCACATTTACGATTACGAAACAAGGTGTTCCAATTGCAGAATCCTCTCAATCAGATTTTGGACATGTTGCCTCTGATTCTTTTGTTAATCCGTCACATAGAGGCTCTTACATGAATTCTAAAGAGTATGGTCTGTTCCTAGACTTCACTGATCAAGAAACCCAAGACCAAAATCCACTTCACCAATTCATTGATGACTGGCCCAAGGATCAATCTAGTCGTTCTGTAATTACTTGGCCAGAGGAGATAAAATCAGACTGGACCCAACTCTCTATGTCTATTCCTATGGCATCTTCAGAGTTCTCATCATCCTCATCCTCACCAGCACAAGACAAGCGTGTTCTTTCACCTCTTAGGTTATCTCGAGAGTTTGATCCAATCCAAATGGGTTTGGCAATGAACAGTGAGATTAGTGACCAGAACAAAAATCAAGCTCACTGGATACCCATATCTTGGGGAAGTTCAATGGGGGGTCCTTTAGGAGAGGTCCTAACTTACACCACAAGCAATGTGGGCAGCTGGAAGAACCCATCAGCTCTTAGCCTCTTATCTGAAGGGTGGGATGGCAGCCAACATATGGAATCTTCTCCAACTGGTGTCTTGCAGAAGGCACCTTGGGCTTCACTTTCAAATAGCAGCTCAGGAAGCGGTCCTATAGCTGAGAATAAGAAACCCCATGATGGTGCCAGCCTTTGCAATAATGTGCTCAGCTCCACTCTTGTAAGTTCTGCCTTGATTCCTTCTGTAATCAGAAGCTAATAATTTAAGCGAGAAAAGAAGAGAGTGTGGAAGAAAAATGAGCCTGGAGCAGGTTTATTAGGAGAAGCTTGAAGAACTTCTGTTTAATTAATTTCCTTTCATCTTTGATCAATTTTAACTTATTGTTCTTTAATTTTAAAATGTAGGAACTTTGCTATATCAAATTTAATAGATATTTGACATTTTGGCTTATGTGTATTTGTGGGTGTATGAGTGTATATATAGGTTGTGAGTTGAAGTGATTTATGATCTGATTAATTGTCTCATATTCTGATTGCCACTGAAATGTTGTTCCGAAGTGCAGCCAATCTTTTTTCAATTATAGGTAGTGAATTTTACATTTTTGCAGACCTGAACAAGGATAATAATGTGGGCTAGATTGAGGTTTGCATCTAGCCTGGACCCCATTAGCAGGAAAAATGGGGTAAAGGCTGGTCAATGATAGTGCTGAAACTTTCATCAATAATGCATCATAATATATGGATAACTTCCAAAAAACATATATCGACTCTGTTGGGCTACTAAGTGACAGACCTCTTCCCATCCTTTCCAGTTGGTAGACAGCTAACATAATTGAGATCACTATAGAAGATCAGTATGGAGTTTCCTGCAGTCTAGGCAGGAGGCACATTTGTGGCCTTTCCACCCGGCATATACCGACAACTGCTCCCCATTCAGCTGATTGGCCCATCGGATCAGACTGCTACTTACCCTGGCTTGTCCTTGAGTCAAGAAAAATTAAAACTTGGGACCAAGTCTGAAACAAACATTTTAGAGCTGGGTCAAATAATTGGGGGTTGAAAGATGGACGCCTAAAATATCTGAAAGAATTTAACATGATTGAACAAAGAAAGAATCCAACAATAGTAAGAAAAATACTTGTCCCATCACATGTTGTACCCTAGCCTATCTTAGCAGAGTTTTATAGTCATTTTGACTGAAAGTTTGTTTTATTAATGGCGAGTGGCCTTGTTAGATACAGTGAAAACGTAAAGTGGGTTAGTGAAACCCAATTACATTGGTTGACAACAACAGATTTTTAGGAATGTGACACATCGGAGAAAGATTTTATGGGAGTGTTTGATTTTGTGCCTGCAGACTGTAATTGCCAACGTAAAACTGGAAGAGAAATACTGAAACTGATTTTCTGCTTTTTCAAATTTCAATCTCTCAACACATCCGAGATTCTATAGAACAAATATCCTTTTGTGTGCAAACCTTAGTAAAATTCCCTGAAAGATTTTGTGATCAACAGCTTTTTTTTTCCTCTGATAAAGGAGGGCCTGACTTCTGTTAAAAACTGAACTTTTCTTGTTTTCTGTTGTAGATAGTTAGATCTGAGTTGGTACAGAAATAAGTCCATCGCTATGTGATATACATGCTACATGTTTTACATCAAAACCGTGGCTAAACACCTAAATCCCATGGTCCCAAATTCAAGGCCTGAGAAAAGAAAGAGCCGAGAGGACCCCTTTTTTTTCTGTGAAGTGCATGTTGTAGCTTTGCAGGCAGTGACAGCCAGGCGTGAAAGCGACTGCTGGAGAATACTGGCTCCCTGTAAATGGCAGAAACACGGGTTACATAGTTCGAAACTGTTAGACCATTTTTTTCTTCCTTCAGTGCAAGCAAGAATGTCTCCAAGAACTGACCCTAGGTTTCCTGTATCTGCATATGCAAGCCAATCAATGACAGGAAACTGCCAGAATCAAAATGTTGGTTCTTTTTTTTTTTTTTATTTCTTTTTCCTTTCACAAAGAAATTCCTCATGTCTCAATTGTATTGCTAGTGTGCTTACTGTTCGCACTTCAATTTGATGGTCTTTATCGCTGTTTTGCACGTCCCTATCCCCAATTTATTGAAGAAAAACAAAACAAGAAACAAACAATGGGTTCCATTTTAATTCGAGCTTGGATTCTGCTGTGTCAAAATGAAGCAATTCTGGTTATTTTGGATCCGTATTTGACCATTCTCTACCACGCAAATATTTTGCTATCAAAGGGCTTAAATTCTCTAGTCTTTAACCATATTGGTAAGTAAAACAAAATGCAAGGAACAGAAAAAGGAAATTTAGTAATTTCTCATCAAGTTCATCTTCATATATTTAATAATGGCAGCCAGAAAAGCGTGGCCAAAGGAAAAAATAAAAGTAAAAATGGTCGTGGAGAAGCTCGGTTTCTACGGGTGTAACAAGAGGTCTCTCACCAAAAAGTAATTGGTTTAATTGGCAAGTATAATCTTTTTTCACTTAAAGATTTTAAGTTCAAATTTAATTAATAATTATTTATTAAAATTATTTGAAATACACGAATTTCAATCACTAAATTATTGATTAGGACATATCTTACTTCACCCTCAATTTTTCTTAAAAAAAAAAAGAATAAAGGGTCTCTCATGCCTAAATTGAGCAATCAGAACGAGGAATTATTTTTAGTCATTGCTATCTCCATAGTTTCCCCCTTAAATTCGTTTAAACAAAACCAAGAAAAAGAAAGAGAAAATGTTAGGCTCAGACAAGCACAAACGCTGTCATCAAAGAGCAGGTTGGTCCTTATATTAAAAGAATTTTTAAAAGAAAAAAAAATCAGAATCGATAAGCGTAAATATTTAATCATTGCCCTAATTTCATAACCACTAATCTATGAACCAAATTTCTAACAAAAAAATTACAAAGAAACCAAACAGAGAACAGGCAAGAAGACTGAGAGGTGGGCACTGAACAGGGAAAAAGAGTTGCCGTCGGTTTTATAACTGCGAATCTGTAAATTCCAAGGTTTTTTTGGGTTTTCCAAATGACGATGATGTCCTTCACTTCAGGGTTGGAAATTTTGGGCCAAAGGCCCAATCTGTATAATGATAACGAAATTCAAGTTCATTAACATGGTTTTTTTCTAAATTGTTTCACAGCAGTATGAAAATTTCTTTCGATCTTTTATTTTTTATTTTTTAATTTCTTAATCTACTCGTAACCTATCCATCTTTATCTCTTTAATTTGCTTAGAAAGTATTTGTTATGAGATAATCAATAAAATTGCAAGTGATTTGTAATCGGTAATTATATCATCTTATTTGTGTCAAGTTAGAATTCCTATATCATTGTATTGAGAAGTAATTTGATTTTTAAGTTAAATTATAAGAAGTTTTATCGTCCTATAAAAATAATTTTTAATGTTATTTTTGACTAATTTATTTTGATGAAAAATGTAGTAACATTATCCAAAAAGCTGGTTAGTAAAAATTTTCAAAAACCAATTTTCTAATAAATTATTTGAAAAAATGTTTTTTGGCACAATTGAATAAATGTTTATTGATTAAAAAATAATGAATTTATTTAATAATTTTTTAAAATTTATTTTTATCAAAATTAATTTATATTTTATAATTTTTTATAAAATAACATTTAACTATTTTATACATAATTGATTCAATAAGTATTATTTTTTTTCTTTTTGTAAGATTATTTTGTATTTTATAATTTATTTTTTCATAAAATATCAAATATAGTAATTTACTATTACAAGTGATTTATAATATTACACTCAAAAACATGATAATTTAAGATTATTGATGATCAAATTATCTTGTGAATTTATCACTATGATAATTAAATTATTATAATGATCTTAAAAATTATATCAAACATTACATTTAAAAAAAAAATTATATTTTAAAGTCTTCTCGATTCTATAATCTTTCTAGTAGAGAAACAATTATGATATAAAATGTCTATTTTCTTGACTGCTCTTTTCACCTTATTATCCAATCATTTATTTACTCTACCCTTGACTCCAAAAATTTGGAGTCATCTTAACCATCAACCCCAACATGTAATCATTTTTTTTTCTACTGATCAATTTTGCAAACAAAAGAAGTTGGGCAAACTTATGATCGAGACTATGCTTTGAATATAGAAAGATGATCCCTTCCATTGTACTTAATAAATGAGCTTTGAATTTCAAAGACTTTGATCGGAATTCCTCTATTTAATTAAAACTGATCCACCAATGAAGAAAAAAAGCTCGTGCTTAATTAATTTTCTTAGTACCGTATTCATAAATATCTGGCCAGGTTTGGGTTCATGATTATTAAATGTATAAAATGCAAGGGAAATGAACTTGTATTTGCTTGTTGGCTTGTCAGCATCCAAATTCTGCTCTTAACTAAAACTTGATTTCTCTTTATTAGTTGATTAAAAATGGATTATGTCCACCTTACCTACCCAAAGATTGAACGACTGAATCCAAGGCTGTTAAATTAACAAACACGCTCTTTGTTAACTCTTTCTGCTTGATAATTGAAGCTGCACGTTTCAACGAACCTGGCCATTGTTTTGTTCTTTTTATTTAAATTCATTTGAAAGCGAAAAAGCTGCTTAACATTCAAGTTTTAGAATTGTATACATCTGCCGTTAGATAGTGTGGATTGTGTGACAAAACAAATTTATTCTCAAAAAATCAACCCATCTTCTGAATATATATAAGCAAGACAGCAAATGCTTGATTTCAATACAGAAAAATGAGTCATGGAGAGGTTCATTCACAAGGAAATATACCTTTTTCTTGGGAGGACAAGCCAGGGGTCTCCACCAAGTCATCCAAGGTCGCCCATTATGATCAGTACTGCCCTATTGATGTAGGTTTGTATGTCCTTAACCAAACACCTCCTCTTACCGATGCCGGAGGCTCGTCGACCAAGATTTTGGTTCATGACAAGAAAGTTCCTCCTCCGCCTCCATGCTCGATACAGCTGCCTCCAAAGAGGAGCACTTCCGTTAAAGGCTTAAGATGGTGGCAACAGGACCCTTTTCTTGCGGCTTACGAAGAGTGCACCAAAAGTGGAGGAAATGGCAAGTTGTCAAGTGAAGGTAGGAAAAATGGTGGCTCCAAATTACTAGTAAGGAAGAAGAAGATTACTTTTTCATGCAAGAATTCTTCTGATGCTAGAGATGATAATGTGGTGAGGTTATGTAATCTCCCACCTCTTCCTAAAGATAGAATTCGCGGCAGACAGGATTTTGTTTAAACACTAGAATATTGGTGAAATCCTCAATTTGAATAAGACCTCTTTTTTAAAAGTCTAAATATCTTCTTCTGCTATGCTTGCCATGAAGATGTGGAAAAATACTGTTGAATATTGTTTCTTTTCTGATCAGAATGTACTTTAGGTTCTTGGCTATGGCTGCTTAAGAAAATGTCAATGAGCAACTTAGACATGAGTGAATTTGTGTTGGCCTGTATCAAGCTTTACTGTCAACAAATTCTTTATTAGTGCATACTAAGGCTGCTGCAATATTGCCAATAAAATCTGTTGATTTCATGACAAGGAAATTCTACTCTTTGATTTGTTCATGTAACAACACGCACCTTTTGTTGTCAAAAGTTGGAAGGCTGGTATGCCTACTTTCTTGAGTATTTACTATTTACTTCAAGAATTTCCATTAGGAAGCCTTAACCTGTGGCTTTCTGCATTATTATTAATTTGCGATATTTCCTTAGTTCGCACATTACTTCAGATTGGTACCAAGCATCCAAAATGGAAGAGGTAATGAGTGTTTCTGTTAAATATCATTGAATAATCAATCAGGATAAACACTCGTCTACTTAACTGACAGACGTATTCTGGACCTCAAAAAACTGCAATATCAAAATTTCGAGTAAGACAATTTCCATGATCTTCTTAATATTGTTTGTAATGTAAGTTATTACTGCAACAAACTTTTATTGAGAAAGATGGAATGCAAAGTCAATATCTGTCTAAAATTTTGCTAATATGTCCATGGATATATTGACTGATTGCTAAACATATGATCATCTTCAGCTTATTACATTCTATGGTGCTATTTTTGTCTGCTTACATCTGATGCATAACTGAATTATTTTGTCTGCTTATATCTGATGCATAACTGAATAGGAAACTTTGGTCTTATCTAACAACTCCAACTTACACCAAAATCATTGTATTATGCACATTCCCTTTGTTAATGTATGATTACGATTACGATTACAATTATTACATTAACACCCTTCAAAATATTGCTTAATCACTTCTTAATCATTAAGGCTTAAACTTTTCCTGAAGAAATCTGGCTTCTAACTCTTCCACCTAGGAATGGTCAAAATCATGAAGTAAATAGATAATGGGCCTTAAGCCACAAACACTTCCAGCAAAGTTTCTAGATTTTGGTATCAACAAAAAGCAATGCAACTGCTAACCCATGTTAGCAGTAACAAGTAATATGGCCCCCTTGGCCTTGGGAAATCTTTCCCAAGGTAATTGGCATCAACAACAACAAACTACAAGGGCATTCTTTTCTTAAATATTCAGTGGTTGATCAAGTAAGTAGTCATCGTAACCATGAGCAAATTCAAGGATTAGGATTGGCTGGTGAAGATTGTGCAAAGATCACACGCTGAAAAACTACAACGAATTTAAATCATGATTTTGGGTGCTCCAAATATTAATGGATAATTGTTCAATTCTCTGTAAGAAAAAGCATTTCCTGTTCAGAACCTTTATTAAGGCCTACTTTTAAATTCAATATTAAATATGAATTAAATGATACTATTCAAATTTTAATTTTATTAAATATTATTTTTTTTTAAAAATGTACGAATCAGGCTTAAATCTGTATGGCTGAATCACCAGCCTATAATTAATTCATATAAATGGACGGCTGAAAAAGAAAGTTCCAGGTTCTGAGGAAGCTCCTAGGAGTAGGCGTACTGTGAAAAACATAAATATGCACCTTATAGCCGCATTTTCAGATATCAATGCCAAAAAGAGATCGGAACCACCCTATTACAATAGCCACATAATATTTTTCAACAAATTTCGTGCCACGTAGTCGGTAAATCCAATTAATTTATTGGACTTTCAAGGGCTTAGGAGCTTGGGAGATGACATTCATTCATATCAGAGTGCAAAAATTCTGGACCATCAATTTATGGACAAAGCAATTTTTGTACTTCTCCACTTTAGCAGTATCTTTAATGATAAAGTAAAGTGTAAACTTTGAAAAGCTAACAATCAAACAAAATCAAGCTTACACGTGAAACCTATCCGGAAACCTTTTTTTTTTTGTTAAAAAGAAAATCAGTTTTTTTATATTTAAATTATCAAAATTTACACTTTAATTTTGATATTTTTATCAATAAATTAAGTGACTATTAAAAAAATCAAAATTCATTGCAAGAAATATGTTCTTAAAAGGGCTTTTAATTAATAATCGTATTTTGGATCATAAATATAATTATCTTTTATTTTAAGAATAATTCACAATTAAATTAAAGATATTTTATTTTCACAAATTGTGATGTTTGGTTAAAAAAATTTACAACTTTTCGTTCGAAATTTTAATGATAAGTATTTTATTTTTATGTTTGATTCAGAGTAATTTGATTATAAAAAAACACACATATTCTTGTGATATTTTAAGATTTAAAAAAAAATTACTTTATTTTTAAATTTAATTTAAATAAAAATTATAAAATAATCATTACTTTTTTAAAAAACATATATAAAAGTGACTATAATTCAATTATAAAATTTTGCTATTAAACTTTTTTATATTACAATTAATGTTATTTGACATGAAAAAAATACCTTACATAACCTATCATTTAAGGCGTATGGGTTAAATAAACGTCATATTTAATGATCATTTAAGCTATTTTTCCATATAAATGCTAAATAATACCTTAAATGATCATTAAATATTATATTTGTATCTTAAAAATACCTTAAATAATCATTGCATTAATTATTTAATAGGATTATTTAATTTAATCAATTATTTAATTTTTTTATAATATAATTATTTAAAGCATTTTCTTTATAAAAATTATTTAAATAATAATTTTATTTTAAAAAATATCTTTTATTTTAATTTTAAATTAAATAATTTTTTATTAAAATGATTAAATTGGATCAACTGATTATTTGAATTGCTTCTTAGTATTATTTTTTATTATTTAAATAATTTATGTAAAATTAAGATTTGGACTTAATTTTTTATTTTTACATTAAGAAACATGTCATTGAATCAATACATATTTTCGTTAAATAATTATTAAATTTAATATTATTAAATATTAAAATCAACATTTAATTCTAAAATTTTCTTTAAATTATACGTCAGTTGAATTAATTGAACAGGGATAGCGCTTTTATCCATTCAATTTCAAATTTAGTTTTTAAATATTGCTTCTAATTAGGGTTGATAACGGGTCAGATCTGGATGAATTTTTATTTGCTTCGAATTCGATCTGATTTTATAATCATAAAACTTGAACCGATTCGACCTAAATTTTTTTTTTTATTTTTAATATCCAAACTCGACCTGATCTAATATTGTATAAACTGTATTCGATTCAAAATTAATAAAATATTATTTTTTAAATATAAATATATAAATATATAAATTAAAAATTAAGAATAATTAAAAATATAAATTTAATATAATATCGGATCGATTGAGTCAGGTTTACTTAAAATTCGAATCGATCTTACATCGATTTTTTTTTAATAATATTCGATCCGACCCAACTCAAAACTCGATTTTCAAAAAAAAAATTTGATTTTATGAGATTGGATCGAGTCAAAATCCGTTGAGTTCGGATTGGATTGCCAACCTTACTTCTAACAACGAAATTACACAAATATACTATTGATTATCTTAATGCCTTTTTAATGATTAAATATTGAAAAAGCCTTTAAATTTTATTATTTTATTTAAATAAATTTTTATACTTTTATTATATTTAAGTAAATAATTATTTTTTAATTTGTAACAAAGTAAGTTTTTATATCAAATAAAATATTAATTTATGTTAATTATTTATTTAAAATATAAATTAAAATTTAATTTAAATACAAATTAAAATATAAATATTTATTTGAATATAAAATAAAATATAAAAAAATTTCAAGTAAAAGAAAATTTATAAAATTTATAAAAATATAAAATTTAGAGAAAATTTTTTATTATTTTAACTTTTTTCTAATTAGCATGGATCATTTTCATGCTTAATTGTTTTTGGTGGTTCTTTTTACCTCATTAAACCAAAAAAAAAAAAAAAGAGAAATTAAGGTTGGGGGGAGTTGTGGAATTTTGACAACAGCGAATGAAGGATGGGAGAACAAAAAAAGGGCCAATTGGAGTTCCATATGATGGAAACGAGGATATTAATAACTAATTAATAGTAGTGTAAATGAATTTGTTGAGACTGATCACATCAGTCACTTCTTGCCTTGTCAACATAAAAAGGTTGACTATAGATGTCTTAAATAATATCATTTAAGTTGGTAGAATTTAGAAAACCTTACAATTACAATTGAGGATCATTTCAGATTTTTTTTTTGGTTAATTATGGAGTTTATGTCTTAAAAATATTTTAAAAATTTTTATTTTAAAAAATATTTAAGATTTTTTTTACAGAAAACACTTTAAATAATAATTTTATTTTAAAAAATATTTTTTATTTTTATAAAAAAAATTATTTAAAAAAATTATACAAAAAATATTTTAAATAATATTTTTATTTTTTAATTAAAAGATCATAAAATAAAAATGATCATTTAAGATATTTTTATATAAAAATACTTTAAATAATCTTATCGATTAAGATATGTAAAGTATCAAACGTTTCAATTGATGATATTTTATAAATAAAAATAACAATCAAATAAAATATTTAATTTTTTTTGTTACTTATTTAGATATTTATTATTAATAAAATAAAATAAAAAATTATCATTATATATATAAAAATATTATAATAATTATATAAAAATTAATATATATATATAGATTCTCATAATCAAATGAATGAATCTAAATAAAAAATATCTTAAAAATAAAAAAATATTAAATATTATATTTTTTCAAATATCACATTTTTTTCTTAAATCAAAATTTTATGAATCAAATACTCTCTAAACATAATTCACAATTGAACTAAGAGTATTTTGATGATTGAGCAAACTTATATAAATATTTCCATTCTCTCTAAGTAAAAAAAGTCAATTCTCCTTTTAACTTTACGAGCTTTTCTCCTAAATTCTTTTATGTTTATCTTTAAACTCTTTTTTAAACTCTTCTCTTCTGTCCAAATTTAGCACAAATACTCAAAATTTTGGGAGCTTGGATTCATAATTTAGTCTCAAAATCTTAGTAAAAACTTGAACCACGGCTTTGAAAAAGAAACACTGAATACTTTAGATCATCAGGGACTTCGGTAAGTGGTATACCAATACTTGGTTCTAATCATGAGTTGATCGATCATATATATCACTTTCAAGTGATTAAAGTCTGTCCTAGCTAGCACTAAAGAAGGCCTATTAAGATGAATTCGTGGTGGTCTTTTGCTGCTTAGATTACCTATCAACCGTGACAGTTGTACACGAATATATCATTTTTATATATTCGGCATGTGACTATGTATATAGTTAGCATTAATGAAAACCAAGCTTTGGGTCTTAATAACTTGGCAGCGAAGAAAGGAAGAGACAAGGGTTGGACACCTTCACTACCCTAAGCCATTCGATATAGGTTGTAATCTGTACCGACCCCCACCGATTGTAGCCGACTCCTTTCGACCTTTTTTTGAAAGGACCCCTGGCCCCATCCCACCTTAGCTCTATTCTCCACCTTGTCCATGCTACATCGCACTCCGAATTAAACATATAAAAGAAAAACGTTTTTCAAAATTAAAAAATCTTCATTTTGATGCATTTTATATCAAATTGATATTCTATGATTTTTGTGAAAAGAAAATTCATGAAAATTTTTTAAATATAAAACATAAGTATTAATGGTTAAAAAAGAAGATATAATTTTGAAACATTTTAAAAAATAAATAAATAAAATAAAATCGAAAGATTGAGAAATTAGTTTTCGCAAATTCAGATTCAACTTTTAATTTATATTTTTGCTCTCATCAAATGTATAGTTAAAAGGTATCTAGCAAAAACAAATAAAAAAAAAACCTAATATATTATAATACGAGAAATTAATGACCTAACTAATTTGGTCATAACAATCACAGTTAACGACCCAAAAGATTTTTTACATTCGTTTTGATGTCCTTTATAAGAAGTCAATAAGTGATTGGGGATACTGAACTGTCAATGTTTAATTTAAAGGCAAGAAAAATAAAATCATACATATTTTAGTAAAATAATGTGAGAAGGAATATCCATAGCACAATAAGGCATAATCTAATTGGACATTAAAAAAATAATATTATGAATTCAAATTTTAATTTAATTAATTTATATAATTATTTTTTTAAAAATATTATCCAACATATTTAAAGTTTAAATCTTAATATTTATAGTTTTTTTACTTTTATATTGCAATAAAAACAAAAGCTAAAGAGAACTAATTAGGTATAGGTTGGCTATTAATAAATATATATTTTTACTTCGGGTGATTGTATATAAATTGGAAATGACGAAAGCATCCTTTTTTTTTTTAATGTTATTACCAGATTGGATTACATTCATGATCACAATTTGTGGCCCCTTTCTCTCAAATGTTTTTTTTTAATTATGAAGTTATTTTAAATAGGAATTATAAAGGCATTAACATCACTTATTATTATAAACTAAAGTTCCCATCTTCTTTGTACTTAATCCAAAACCAATCAATTCTAGCAAAGAAAAAAAAGGGAAGAGTTGAGAGCTGTTTTTTTTTTTTTTTTTGATGTACATCAAAAAGGAAGATATTCGCTATCTGTGATTTTTTTTTTTTTTGAGATTTAATTAGGAAGAAATGATCCTTTAAGCTAAGCTTTTCTTTTGAAAATATGTGGGTGGAATCTTATGTCAAACCCCAAATCAATAGGAATAAGATCATTGCTTGACTGTTAATTTCGGTATCTCGCATCTCACTTTTATGCCCTATGAAGTAAACCAACACTCAAATTATTATGGGAGGACAGTATTACCCAATTGTTCGTGGAAATGTTTATTATTACTTAGTGATGTTGGTTAATTTGATTTTTTTGAATTGTAATTTATGCATCTAATTTAATGAAAATAATACGTTAAACGTATAAATATTTTTTAAAATAATATTTTGACGCTTCTCGATCAATTTATAAGTATTTGTTAATCAAATTATATTATTAATAAAATTTTATTATTATTATTACGATCGAACTAAGGGTATTTTCGACTTTCTCACATGTCTCTCCAAATTCAATAGAGCAACTTACAAAATAAGGAACCAAACTCAAATAATTGCCATGTCTAATTGGAAACCAAATGCAAGCGGGACATATCATTTGATAGCACTTTTAGACTTTGGCAGCATTTAGATTAATATATAAGTAAGTTTAAATGATTTGCTTTCTTGCACTAAGGGTGGCCCCAAATTATATAAAGTAAAATGTAAGGTGGGAAAAGCTTAAAACTAATTAGACCACTTTTCAATACCAACAAACAAGAGGAAAACAACAAAATAAATCTTGATAAAACCAAGCACTGACCAACTCTTTTTACACTACAACAACTATGGTTTCTCAAAACAAACCATTTCTCTTTCATCATCCTGTTTGGCAAAAATATTAAGTCCCTAGCTAAGAAAAAACCCAACATTTGAATTTACAGAAAGATCGAGATGAGAGAGATAGAGATATAGAGATGATCAGATAGGACTGAATTTGGTTCTCATATTAGAGAGAATTTTAATGATGCCATTGTTGTAAGTTAAATATATATAGTATAGTATATATTAAGTGATTAATGGTGGGATTTGTTCGGACATGGCAGTAACGTTATTGCGTGGCCATGCAGATGAAAGCTGCTGCAGTTGCTTGAATAGCAAAATTTGACTTATGTCCGACAATTTTTGTCTGAGCATACTATATTCAGATCGGAGCCGATCGTTGTCTGTCCTTACACGGTGACAGTGGTACAAAACGAACCTCAAACGGTTGGTCAGTTCTCGGTTCTCGATTCTTAGCCGATTCACCTGGTTCCTTAAGTTTTCTAGATGCTGCTGTTTACGCATCCTTGACCTCCTGGCTGATTCCCGGTTCGATATCATGCGTCTTCTCTTTCGTTCGTCGATGATGGAAACCGGTTGGTTTGGGTCATCCGAACCCGAGTTCGAGTTGGTTTGATTTTGTTTCGGATCATCTAAACCGGAATCCGACCTTGCGGGTCCTACTGATTGGGTAGTGGAAAAAAGTTCCGAGCAATCCCATGGCGTGAACCAGCTTTCGAAAGCCGGAAATTGCTCATTTTCGATCATTGACTCGGAGGAAAAAATGGCCGGAACAGTGGACAACATGGCTTGAATAATGATAATAATAATTAAAAAGAAAGGAAACAAACAAAAAGCTTGCAAAAATATACGGGGAAGGAAGGAAGGAAGAGAAAAGGGAAGAAATGCAGCGTAGGGGGCTCATATTTATGGACAGACTTGAGGGGTATTGTGGGTAAAAAATATTTTTATACTTTAGATACGTATATACACCGTATATGTACAGAAATTAACTTTTGAGTCAGGTGGCACTATGGTGGGGTTTTAGCCATACTTTTTAAAGCGGATAAATGTGGAGTGACATAGGGGCCCAGGAGTCCATTGAAAAGACGCGCATTTTCGCTTAGTCATGAAGAATCAAAATAGTGTGGGATCCCTGATGGATGCGTGGCGGAGTGTGATAGGGTAACCGTGCAAACAGCCAATAGTTTGTGAGGATGCTGACGTGGAGCCTCGCGTGTGTGCAAGGCTCTAATTGAATGATAGTTGAACCGGGGGATGGCAAAGGTTGGGTCGTCATCAGCACTAAACCGGTCTCTGATTAATTGAAAGGTAAGGCTCGAACCGGTGTTAAAACTGGATATCAATATCAATGACGTTTTACTTTGCATTTTCATTAAAAAATTGTAATATAATAACTTCATAAAAAAGGTTAAAATTTTGTTAACTATGGTATTAATAAAGTTAAGGCTCACAACTAATGCTTTAAAATAAATATTAACAAACATTTCAAATTTTGACTTTCGAGTTTGATAATATTTAAGAAAATATCTTATTCGAGTTTAAATTTACTAACGAAAATTATTTTTAAACAAATAACAAATTCTATTTATTGGGTTTTTTTATAAAAAAGTTATCGTTCAAAAATTTTTAAAAATTATAAATATTAAAATTTGAGTTTTAAATTTATTAAATATTATTTTTTAAAAGTAATATATAAATTAATTTAATTAAATATTAAATTTATAAATAAATAATTATTTTTAATTAAAAAAAGAAATATTTATATTGATTACTTTTAAGCTAGGAATTTGTGTATTTGTTATTGAACTGACTGTTTGTTAGGATGTTGACGGGTGATTTGATTGATAGTAATTGGCACAAGAGAAATTAGATGGTTTTTGTGATTCTACTATGCTAAGCATTAACATTCATGAAAAGACATCCCTTTTTTCATAAGTTTTTCCTTTTTTTTTCTCTGATCAATCAAACACGATTTTATTGTTTTGTGTGTTAATTTGGAAGGAAGAACAATAACCGCTTCCTGCGGTATTATGCCTTCTATTTTGAGCACTGTCAGCCAGCTAGCACTATTGTATGTTGGAGTTAGCAATGTTGTCGCTACTGTTTTATAAGATATAGACATATAATTTGATTCAAGCGGATCAATTAAATTTGATCCAAATAGATAAGTTCATTTATATTTTTAATTTTATTATTTTATTTATTTATAAATATATTTATTATTATTATTTATCTATTAATATATATTTATTATTTATTAATATATTTTTTATTATTTATCTATTAATGTATTTTTTATATTTATCTATCAATGTATATTTATCTATTATTTTTTTTTTATTTTTGGTTGGTTTATCCAGTCTTAATTCTGTTTTAATTATAATTCTTGGTTCTAGAAGGGAGTTTGGCCATAAATCAGAGGACTGAAAAAGTTAGGATTGGATTCAAAAATTAAATCCAAATCCCAGAGGAAATTAAGATTGATCATAAACTCTTTTGATCAATCCCTATAAATATGTGTTGAAACAAAATCCAAGGGAACACGAAAAAACACACACAAAGAGAAAACAGAAGCTAAAAAGGTTCTGGTGCGTTAGATACAGCTTTAGGAATTTGTGAAATTTTTTTTTTAGAATTTTTGAAGTTTCTTTCTGAAAAATTTTTGAAAAATTTTTAGAATCTAGCAAAATTTTTCAGCAAACCTTGAATTTTTTGATGAGTTTTTCGATCAACTTTGAAGTTTTCAACATTATTTTTTATAATCCGATGAAAATTCAATCGGATTTTGGGTTGTGTTATTCGGATAGAGAGAAGAAAGAGAAACAGAAGAGAAGAGAGAGAAGGAAGAAGGCACATTTGAAGAAAAAACATGTTCTTTGCTTTTTATACCTGCGTAAAACGACGTCGTTTTAGTGTTAGTACGTTACTAGGATCCGTGTGTTTTTGTTTGGGTTGACCCGACCCGATCGCGATTCTATTCGTTAACCCGCGTGCTAGCCGATCCCTAGAGCCGAGCCAACATCCCCCGAGTCGCGTCTTCGAGCCACCTTTTCTGTCTTGAGTCGAGCTGTTCCAAAGATTTTTTTTCTCTTATTATTATTATTATTATTGTTGTTGTTGTTGTTGTTGTTATTATTATTATTATTATTTATTGATTAGATTAGAATTATTTAGTATTCCTTATTTTATTTTATTTTTAATTTATTTTTTGATTTTCTTTAAATAAAATTCTAAAAAAAAAATATTTTTGAGGAAAAGTTGAAACTATCAATTTTTCTTGTATAAAAACAATGAGTTTTTGAAGAGAAAAAGATTTATATCTAAAGCAGAATTTTTTTTTTCATTTTATTTCTTTTCTTTTTTGTTTCTTGAATTGTTTTTAATGTTAAATAATTCGACGATAAAACCTCTGCAAGTGAAATAGTAGTTTCCTTGCATACTCTTGAGGTGAAGGAATTTTTTTAATTTTTTGCTAAAAGTATTAGAGTCAATTGAGAATAATTTTTAATAATTAATTACTTGGTAAATTTTTAAGGCTTATTAGATAACACAAAATTAAGCTGGTACCATCTTTCGATGGGCGTTGTGAGGGTGTTATAACCTTCCTCACACGTAATCGTACTCTCGAATCTTATTCTGGTTAGTAGACCTGAACTTATTCTTTTAGGGACCCTTAGGCTTAAGTGTTCCTTAAAAGGATAGATTTCTTAGGTGACCAATCACACCTAGATAAAAAAGATTGGTAGTGACTCATTCAAGTCAATGTCTAGTGATAAATCCTCTGATCTAGACTTTATGACAGCTTGACGACTCCGCTGGAGAAGTCTGAGAGTCAGGCTAGTAAATAAATTTATGTTATCCAAAAGCCTAAGAAAATTGAACCTTTTTGTATAGATTTTTTTTATTCATTCATGTTTATTTACTTTATTAATTATGTCATTTATATGCATATGCATAACATGAGCTCTATACTAGAGCTTCGTCCCTCGAGGAGAGAGTAAATTACCTATTGCTTTCGTGAGGTTTAATGCCTCCGCAGTGGCTAACGAAATACTCTCAATCAAATTGAAACCTTTTTCGCTTGTAGCTTGTAATGGGTGAGGATTAGGGTGCTTTACTAGTCTGTGATGGACAATGATGTAAGGAGCAATTTAGGAACCTTTAGACTTTAACCTCAAACCATATATAGTGAACTTTAAAAGTGCCTAACCTATAGATAGAGCCATCATTCTTCCCTTTTAAAATTGACCAAAAGCATAGAGTTCATTCCTCTTATTCTGTGTGATGTTTTAATTTACTTAGTTATTTATTTATTCCTTTTTTTTAGGCATACCAACCTTTTCTCTCATTTTTTTACATTGGTTCATACTCATATCATAAAGTTGCATAAAGAACATTTGCTTGAAAGACGATCTTCAACAAAAAGTTTTTCATGGACTCCATAGAACGATTAGTTTGCTCCTCATCTGTATTAGCTCCTTGTGAGCTACCCAATGAAGTAAAATTCAATCAAAAAAGATGTAACTAAAGATGGGGGATTATTTACCAATCGACTATGATTTACCCTGTCTTAACAAACATCTATCCTCCTCAAATAAAATAATCTAAAAGAATTGGTTGATATATGGAAGAAGATGAGCCCAGCTAGACAAAAGAAGTTTTACCAGAGACACGGGTATATAGCATACCTTCTTGCAGTAGTTATCGATGATCATCTAATTAGAGCTGCAACGTAATTCTTGGATCTTGCATACAAGTGTTTCATCTTCAATGAAGTTGATATGACACCAACCATTAAAGAATATTCGACTTTGTTGGGTTTGCACCTCAAGGCTTTTGATAAAATATATGTCAAAAAATACAAGTAAAGATTTCGTAAGGGTTTGGCTCGACTCATGGGGATAGACAAAAAAGTTATGGATTCTCATACAAAGAAGAAACAAGAGCATGTTTGCCTACCTTGAAAGTCTTTCACGAGTTTCTAGTGTAACATGCCAACGAAAAATAAGGGTTAGATATATTTACCTTAGCTATATACGGAATGGTGATATTTTCAAAGGTTTTGGGTTATATTGAAATAGCGGTGATTGACTTCTTCGAGAGTGTGATCAATGGTTGTAACCCTTCAACGGTAATATTAACAGAGACTATCAGATCTTTGAGTTACTGTCATCAGAATAGAGGGCATTTTATAGACTACATACAGTTATTATACTTATGGATGAAAAGGTATTTCGAATGAAAAAATGTGCTTTCTCGAAGTTTTATGTCCGTAATCGAGCTTCGATCAAAAAATTTTATGAAAGTGGATGGTCAGAATAAAAGTCTAAAAAAGAGTGAATAGCTTTCCTACAAAAATTGACTAGTGTCGAAGTAAGATGGTTAGTCCCATAGATGAATCATGAACCTATGTTGTATCAGTGTAGAGATAATACTGAGGTCTCACTTTTGAGTTTATGGGGAGTAACAGGTTATACACCACTCCTAGTGAGAAGGCAGTTTGGGGTAGAACAGTTTATTCCTATGACGCATGGGCTTCATCAGTTAGATTTCTCTTACAGTGAGCTAAAAGTATTTTAGAGGATGAATAAGGTGATTAAAGCATGAAAAATCCTCATAGAGTGAGTCTTGGATCGTTCACTGATAAAGTCACTCTAGGGTATTTGCTTTGGAGAGCAAGACAAAGACAAGAAATGGTATTCAATTATGAAAGCTTTCAACCGTCAACAGGAGGAAAGCTTAAAAGACACTATCAGAATTAGAGCTTGCGACAAAAGAATTTGAGTCTAAAAAGAATAAATTAAAGTAAAAAATCTAAAAACTTAAGAAAAAAAAGATCAGTGGAAAGATAGAGCTGAAAGACATGAAGCCAGAGTTTGCAAGATTGCTAGACAACGTGATACAACTGTTGAAGACCTAGCAGAGCTATACCAAGAACATAAGAGGTTATGTGTGAGAGAAAGGGTCAAAGATATAACAATTGTTAAGCTGACTGAAGAGAATGCAATATTGAAATAAGAATATGCTGAATTGGAGGAAAGAAAGTACCCAAGTACAGACAGAGAATAACATGTTGAATAGCTACCTAAATAGGTTGAGATAAAAGTTGAATGAAGAAGAAGACCATATTGTTGCATTAGTTAGAGAGCATAGATAGTTATTATACCAAGTCTGGTATGGTAAAAGAGAGAACTTGAAAAGATAAAAGTATATTGAGCACCTAACGACCCAAATTTATAAAAGGGTATGCAAGACAAGAGAGATGATAGAAGAGGCAGAGGCATTAAAACAAGTGGTGGCCTTAGTAAGAGAACATGGGCAGCGTCTATTGAATTTCATTGAAGAAGCCAAGGTCTAGTATGAGCAGATAAAATGATTTTAT